CTGGCTTTTTGCTGGTGTCAACGGCACGAACAGACCGGCTAGCAGCCTGCGCTCCCCAACGACACCTTCTATGGGAAAATACATCCGAACGTTTTTTCAAAATGAAATAAAAAGCTGTATTGAATGCCCGAACTCGTTCCACTCGGCAAGCCTGCTGCAAGGAACCCGGTATTCGGTGTCGCAGTAAGGCTGATCATTAAGGGGTCATCCTTATGCACCTGCTTTAATGGATTTAATCCCTGCTGCTATTACCAGGAGAGGAAACAAGCTGAGCCGTGCGTGCATGCGCTACTGCCCTCTGGTGGAGCACAACTACACACCTGTGTGTCATAGACCGCTCGCTGCTCACATCGAAAGGAGACTCCTCTTTAGCTTTTAACTGAGATGGGCCTGCGCTCTCGGGATAGTCATGTCTCGGGAAAGTCTCCTCTCCAAGTTGCTGGAAGGAGACTGCTGAATTTTGGATCTAATCTACCTTGCAGTTAAGAAGAGGAGAACGGTCTACTACAGCCACAGCTCTGTGGGTTTCCCATTTCCGCCGCGCAGAGTAAGCCACGAAGGGGTCTTCAGCATAGAGGAAGGAGGATGCTGATGCACTTGAATAGCCGGCCCAAGCAGGCTGGTCGCTATGTTGTAGTTAGTGCTGCCACCGCCCCTTTCCCGTTGCTTTGTCCCAAACTGGGGCACCAGAGACTACCTACACTCCCCACTGTGGTGTCACAAAAGAAATGATGCTGCCTGGAGTCAAAGGGTCTTCGGTTGCATCTAAGACTTAAGTTTCTCTCCTCAAAACTGCCTCCTGCATGGTCTCAGCCTAGACCTGGATATTTCTAGACAACCTTTGCACATCCAGCCTGTGCTGAGCTGCTGGAAAGTGAATTTGCCACTTTCCAGCAGCTTAACAAATTGCTCACGTACTTCTCTGCACTCGGATAATTGGAGAAAAAAAAACTGGTCCAAAACTCCCATTTCAAGGCTGGCATGTGCTCTCCTCAGCGAGGAAAGGCTGCTGAGGAAACGGGGAAACACTCAAAAGCCACAGCGACTTAAATGTGCTCTGTGGGCAGCCAGCCAGGTAAGTCCTTCCAGGCGGAGAGTGCTTATTTGTATCCTGATGGCAGTGGGAAAGCTGAGTCAAGGAGCAAGAATCCATCAAGAGCAAAGCAAGAATGAGTGCATGCACCCACCTATGGCCCAGACTGCTTGCCCAGAGAGGGGGCAAAGCCGAAACGTTGAATGGACTGGATGGCTGAGACTGCAACAAATCTCACTACCACACAACAGGCATCTTCTCACGTGTCCCTAACAGAATGGAGGAGGCTTCACCCTGCAACCTTCTTCGCTGTGAAATAGTCTATATGCCGTGCCTCTGAATGCCTACAACTCTTCTACCACTTCATAATGCAGAAAGCTCTCTGCCCAGAAGTATACCTTCCAATGCATCTCCTGGAAATGAGGCATCTACACACATACCAACGTCTCTCCTTCTGGGAGCATGGGCTTTAGCGTGGCATTTTCAAAGTGCTTGATATTGGGTGCCACTGAAAGTTAAGAGCAGTCGAGGCACGCGGACACTTTGGAAAATCCATCCCTAATGTCAAAGACCTTGCACGTGGGGCTTCCTGGCCTGGCCTGTTTGGACTGGGGTCTAGCTGAGTTTCCTTTCTCCCCAGTTCTGCTCAACCCTTTGCAAAGTGTGCACTCCCCATGTCTTCCCCCATGGCATGTGGCAACAAACTGATAGGTCCAGTGGAACAGGTTAGATATGAGGAAGATTTTTTCCATTAGGAGGGTAGTGAAGCACTGGAACAGGTTACCCAGAGAGGTGGTGGACTCTCCATCCCCGGAGGTGCTGAAAACCTGGTTCGACAAAGCCTTGTCTGGGATGACGTAGTTGGGGCTGGTCCTGCTTTGAGCAGGGGGTTGGACTAGATGTGACCTCCTGAGGTCCCTTCCAACCTTCACTGTCTGTGATTCTGTGAATCACAATCTTTTAAAACCACCAGCAAGGTGTACATACCCATGCTCACATGCATAAGCAATGGTGGGGAAGGCAGTGCACAGTATCCATCCATGAAGCAGGCAATGGAGTACTTATTTCATAGAACCACAGTTTCAGCAGGGGCCTCAAGGTCTGACTGGCCCAAACCCCTGCAAAAAAAGCAGCAATACTCCTGAACCATCCCTGTCCAATACTTACCCAGTCTCCTCTTGAAAAACTGCAGTGAAGAACTCCTCTTCTTTAGGGAGATGTGAAGACTGCCGTCGTGCCCTCTCCCAATTCGATGGTCTTTTCTGCTAGCGCGACATGCCTGCTTCTCTCAGGCTCTCCCCGTGAGGCCTTTCAACCCCCTTCTCAGCTTTGTCACCCACCTCTGGACCTCCTTGAACCCCTCCACATCTTTGTGAAAACATGAAGCCCAGCACTGCACAGAACAGGACTAAGTTGGGAAAACGCTGGCTCCAGCTTCCTCTCCAAAGCACTGTCCAGACTTCTTTTAATGCTCTCCAAAGGCAGATTACCTGGAAACGATGCTTCATCAACTCTGTGCCCCTCTGACCTCCTCAACATCATCATCTCGAGCATTATCTGCGCACTTCTTCATTTCCCATCGGCAGGGCCTGGGAAGCTAATCTTCGGTTTAAGCTAAACCTCCGCCCTCTTCACCTACGGAGATGATGTGCCGTAAGCATTTATCACCACTGCCGTTCCTTCCCTCGCCTGCCCTTCATTTCCCACTCTCAATTTTCTGTCTCATGCCACTTACTGCCCACGCGGCGGATGGGAGGGGGGTTTACTCTTTGTGGCAATGCTGCCATTTGCTCTTCATTTCTGCTCATGTTTTCCAAACTTCCAGCAGCAGCTCCGGTCCTTCGGCTGACGGGCTTTTTGTGCCTCTTCACAGCTCTCGTGCTCAGCCCCTAATCCTCTTCTTTATGGGTTTGTTTAACCATGCTGGCTGCAGGCATCCCTTGTCAGTTTTTCCCCTGCATTGGGCCTTGGTTCTCTTTGGGTTTGTCTGCAGGAGGAAACTAGAGGTAGATTGATTTGGGGGGAGTTCATTTGGATTCACATCAATCCCCAAAATTTTGCCCCACTTCATCTGCACTTGCATGAAGTTGGGGCTTGGGGAGCACTGCTGAGTTGTTGCTTGCCAGACATGGCCAGAGAAGGATTTAAATTCTGGTTGCGTCGTGGTCGGCAGGCCCCAAGTGCTCACCCCTCCTGCTTATCATATCGTGCCCATTGCCTCTAGCTGAACAGAGGAGAGGGAGGGAGCCTACTAAAATTAAAGGATGCTCCCCCAACTGGGCAAGGAAACAGCGACACAGCATCCTCGGAGAATGGGGCCCTTTCACCCTACTCCACTCTAGTGATCCCAACTGAGAAGCCTTCGTCCCCAGGAAGCTAAGCCTTTTCACGCAGCCTACTCTATCTGCTCTCATGTGCCAAGCTCCCTTTTCAGCCTCACATTTACACAGCATCTCAAATTAAGCCTTCAGTTGTAAATCCAGGTATAAGCAGCATTCATTCATGCCTCCATCCCTTGCACTCCATACAGTCTCAACCCGTCCTGCAAAACCCCCACCCAAAATGCTGCCATGGGCCTACTGTTAGACTCTGCCAAGCTTAATTGTCCCTCTTGATCTTCTTTGCTATCGCGACTACAGAATACATGCGTGTTGGGTGCAGGTGGCAACTGGGAAAGGCACAACAGGCCCTCAACCCAGGAACCACTTAAAGCAGAAAACACAAAGCTAGACGTTAAACACGACTGGAACTGAAATGCATTCCAGCGCTCGACGCCATGCTGTTCTACCTCCAACTACAGCCGACGGCTGACACCTCATTTAGCTGACAGGCTAAAGATGAAACACCAATAATTATGCTTAATGGGTAGCTGCAGAAAGAATCACTGCTGTTACTCTTGGACCAATATTAAGCTTAATTTGAGGAAACACAACAAACGCCTGTGCACTTGATAAGCCATTCCCAGCCAGCTATATTATGCAGGAGTATATCTGTATCATAAAGATGAGGGGTGTTCTTACCACGGGTTAAAACAGCGACGGAGGTGAAGTGACCAGGCTTCCACTCAAGCTGCTAGGTGTGGGTTACCTTATTTCCAGTGCTTAACCCAAGTTAGCCATCCAAGACTAGGCAGTCCGTGTAAACAACACAGATAGCTGGGTCTTTTTTTTTTTTTTTTTTAAGGG